CCTCAATTCTAAAAAAAAAAAAGAAAAAAAAATATTTTCAAGTTCTTGGGTTATTTTAAAAAAGAAAATATTACAGGGGAAAGTGTGTCTGGTGATAGGAGGAGATACGGGTATAGGAAGAGCGGTGTGTTACCATTTTGCCCTTGAAGGCGCGACAGTAGCGTTCACATATGTACAGGGGCAAGAGGAGAAAGATGCTGAGGACACTTTGAAGAAGATTCAAGAACTGAAGACACCTGATGCAAAAGACCCTATTGCCCTGGCTGCGGACGTAGGTTTCGACGAGAACTGCAAAATGGTGGTGGATGGAGTGGTCAACAAATTCGGCCGCATCGACATCTTGGTCAACAACGCTGCGGAGCAGCACATGACCCACACAGTTGAAGAGATCGACGAGAATCGACTCGAGAGGACCTTTAGAACCAATATATTCTCTCACTTTTTCATGACCAGGTAGGTGTGAAAATTGGAAACGAATTTTCGATTTTGCAATAACATTTTTCATTCCGATTTTTTGATTTTTTTTGGATCGTAATTGGAATAAATATGTGATTCCGATTTTTGATCCGATTTTAATTTCCAAAAATAGTTCCTAAAATTCCGATTATTTGTTTTCCTGAAAATTTAATTGGAATTTTTTGAATTCCGCCGATATGATGCGAAAATTTCAGATTTTGGAACAAAATTTTGATTTCTCAATTTTCTAGATTGGAATTTCAAATTACATGAGATTCCGATTTTCGATCTGATTTTAACATCCGTAAAATAATTCCGAAAATTTCGATTTCTTACCCCAAAAATTACACTTATAATATCTGTATCATTATGCATTTTATACTTTAGGTGACTAAAAAATTGGAATTTTCCGAATGCCACTGGTTCCAATCCGAAAAATTGCACTTCTAGAGCAAAAAATTTCATTCCAATTTACGAAATTCCGATTTTTTTTCCGATTTTTCTGAACAAAATTGGAATTAAATTTTCACTTCCGAAACATTATATTTTCTCGGAACTCGCTAACCCGAACCGATCCGTCCGATTTTAACCCCTACAACCAGGCATGCAAACTCAAGATCTTTTAGTAACATTCGATACAACCATAATTAATCAAATAATTACCGAACTCGATTTACTTTTTTCGGTAGTTCAATAATTTTCGTAACTAAATTGTGGTTACAGGCATGCTCTTAAGCATATGAAAGAAGGCAGCACAATCATAAACTCCACATCCGTAGCAGCTTACTGCGGCTCACCGATGCTTCTCGATTACTGCGCAACAAAGGGAGCCATTGTATCCTTCACTCGAGCCCTAGCCCTCCAGCTCGTCGAGAAAGGGATTCGAGTCAATGCGGTGGCACCGGGCCCCGTGTGGACCCCACTGCAGGTTGCCACCATGCCGGAGGAGGCGGCAGCAAAAGTCGGGGCCGAGACACCCATGGGCAGGGCGGCTCAGCCCCACGAAATCGCTCCGTCTTATGTTTTCTTGGCTTCCGATGAGTCTTCGTCCTATTTCACCGGCCAAGTTTTACACCCCAATGGTGTGTTTTATTCCACAAAAAAAATAAAATAAATAAATAAATCATTTTTCACACACTAACGCACGTGTTATACACACACAGTTGTAGCAAGGTTTTGTCTTTTTGACATTGTGTTTGTTTGCATATATTGCAGGTGGGATGATTGTGAATGCATGACGTGGAAATGGAGAGGAAAAGAAAATAGATGTGTTTAGAGACAATGGGCTGCATGTAAAATTAGGTATATCAAGAAATAAAAATGTGAAGTGGTGTAAAAAAGTATTTAGTGTGTATATATACTAGTATTTTGCCCCGTGCGTTGCACGGTTGAATGTTAAAAAAAAAATACCGATAAATAAATAATAAGAAATAATGTTAAATTAATAAAAGTCATATTCAAAACCAATAAAACAAATTATACAGGAAATAAAATTATAAGAAGAAATAAAAGAAATTTGAAGTTCATAACAATATAGATTAAGAGTAAAACATGTTCAAATTTCCTGAAAAAAACTACTCACTAAATCAAAAAATAATCAAGCTATTCAATCAATGTGTTTTCTATTATTCACCAATATAATTACAACTAATTCGTACATTATATAATACATTCTCATAAACCATGGGTAAACAATTTCTTTCATCAAAACTTAGTGAAAGAGTTCCGAAGAAACCGAACATAACTTAACGAAACGGAAATATGCCACTTATCCAACAAAGAAACTTGGAGCACTACTTTTACTTTAGATTGGTAAAAGAATACAAAAAAGTAGCCATTTCGTGCAAAAAAAAGAACATTGGTTGTGTGTTACAAAACAATACGGTGAATTACTTGGTTATAATTCGGTTGAAACTTGCTTTTCTTTTTCTTTGCATAAACCAATTACGCTGAAAACATATGAATATGGAACGGCAAACAAAAGTTGCAGTAGGTGAAGCAGAACATTATGAAACGGGAAACAACTCGAAGTTATATACATTCATTTAACAATGATGAAAAAAATACCATCTTCGAAAATAGTTTTAACTTGGAATAAACAATAAACAAATAGTTTATAGAATAATAAGCCAATTTAGAGCTTTAAAATGTAGAGTTCATTAAGGAAAAATCGTACTGATTCGTTGTACTAACTGGAAAATTAATATCTTACATTGTTATCGAAAATGAAAATTTAAACATGACAATAATTTATATAAATGTCTAAAATATATATTTAAAATAGTTTGCAAAATATTTATTTTAATCATTGAAAAAGTCTAAAATTAATGAGTGAAAAAGTCTAATAGACTCGCTGTTAAGTTGGAAACATATTTTTAGTTAAACCGTTCATCCAAAATCAAAACTCATGTATATGTCAACGTACAATATACAGTTAAAATAGTTTTACAGCATAATAGGCTTATACGAAGTTATAAATAAAAATCTATAGTTTAACGACAAATCAAACAAATTCACTATACTATATTGGAAACATATTTTTCTCTTAACTAAACAGTTCATCCAAACATGTGAATTTTGAACAATAATTTAACATCTAAAATATTGCATAGTTAAAATAGTTTCGTAAAATATTGTGCCAATTTAAAGTTATAAAAAAGTTTACAATAATGCAAATCTATTTATAATAAATATATATTTTTGTTAGAGGAGATATCTGAAAAACATGTTTGGAATGAAACGATATAATGTTGAGGAAATATCTTCAATTCCATAAATAGTATTATGCATCTTCCACCCACAGAAGAAGTGAGATAAACTGTTTCCGGGTCAGGGTAAAATATGGCGTCGGATTTTGTGGCAAAATAATTTTACGAAAAAAGGGAAGTCTAACCTTTGCTTTCCTCTTTGTCGGTTTATTCTTGATCAGTATATGAATCGTTTGAAAATTACTCCATTTCAAACTCTATTAGCTGGCTGAGGATCTTGAAAATTATCATTAATTCCATATGCTTGAATAAATAATACAGCTCTCCCATATATCCTGACAAATCGTTGATGTATTTTCTTCATGAAATGCAAACGAAATTATCTCTGAACCTATTCATGAGAGTTATGAAATTAGAATCTTCTAATATAATATTTGAAGATAATTTAAAAAAATAAATGAAAACCACCACTTACAAAAGTCTAAGAATCCAATTTTTTTTTTTACAGTAATTGAGATCAAAGAGTTTTGTTCATCAACAAAGAAATTCAAATCAATCACACATGTATTATTAAGATAACAAACACATTATGTTAAATATGATTTTTCAATCTAAAATGAAACCATAACCATTTTTCAGTCTAAAACTTAGTAATGCATCAGACATACAAAACCCTTTACTAAAATTAAACCAATAAATTAAAGACTTGAGGCTAAATCAGAAAAAAAAAAAAAACAATAATTTCAAAAGTAGAATAAGAAAACATTACCAAGCTTAGAAGGAGAGATCGCAGACTTGTTCGAACTACTCTCTTTGTGAACACAAGTGTCCATGGATCCTCGGCTTCTCTCAAACACAACCTATATTAATACAACGAAGATCAATTCTTTTGTTCCAACAAATCCGACCAGTAAATCAAAGAATACACAAACAGACCAAGAGCAGTATAATCAGTATAATGCAGACATTCCCTGATTCAACCACAATTGGTGGATGTTTCCAAATAGAACATTCAAGAAGATCGAAATTAATAAAAGATCGTTAACACATAAATTCGTACAAAAAAGTTGGTGGACAATGGAGAAGAAAGAGAACTTACAGAGAGAAGAAGGTGCATCGTTGAACTGGATGTAGCGTTTTCTTCCCCCTAAAAAAAAACATTAAATATTACCAATTATTTCCTCCAGAAAAGCATTATATATCGTGGGGTACGGTATAAGAAGGAGAATAGGAGCAGTTAGATCGTGTGGTGGAGAATTAACTGCTTGAAGAATAAAAAACTTAACTGCTTCAAGTATGAACTGCTTATACACGATTGATTGGTTGTCGAGTAAGAATGTGAAAACTGCTAATGTCCACTCTTCTAAAAATACGGATGTTAATTTTTTAATAAATATATAATAATTATTTAAATACTAAAATACCCCTAGGGTTATAAAAACATACAATTTCTTACGTTGAAGATTATTGATGTGATGAAAGAGAGGACAATTATAGTGTTCTTCGATGTTCTTGATAACATGTATATATAGGAAAATTTATGGGGTTGAGATGGAGAATGGTGGGGAAGTTAAGAAAAGAAGTTGAAGATGACGTTGAGTAGAAAACAAAAACAAAAAAACAAAAAAATCACAGCTAATTGTGAATAGTGGGGAAGGAAAAAAAAAGAAAATATTACAAATAAGCCCATCAGTGGGAACTTATTCATAAAGAGATCCAGACAATATTCTCCTTTACCAATAAGTCCACACATGGTCCAGATTTCTGTAAAGGACTAAAATAACCCCTCTTACTTTTATATGCTCCAATTTCATCCTTAACTTAATTTAACTTCAATTTGACCCCAAATTTCACAAATTATTCAATTTTGACCCAAAACTTTTTTTTTTTCACAAATTTTTTTTTTTCAAAAACTTTTTTTTTCCGCCGGATTCCGGCGTTGACTTTTTTTTTTTTTTTTCTTCCGGATTTTTTTTTCCGGATTCCGGCGTTGACCGGCGGTCAACGCCGGTCTCCGGCGTTGACTTTTAATTTTTTTTTTTTTTTTTTTTCTCCCGGATTTTTTTCCGGATTCCGGCGTTGACCGGCGGAAAACACCGGTCTCCGGCGTTGACTTTTTTTTAATTTTTTTA